ATGCACACACTAGTGATTTGGGCTTTTTGGCAACCTCATTCTTTGAATTCCTACCCTTACCATTCTTAGCAAATTTTGAGCTTTTTCCAACTTGTGAGGTTGATGGGTTGCTAATGCCCTTCACAAACATTGTCTTGGAAGAAGTGTGGGTGTGTTCATTTGGATAGCCTAAACCACGCTTATCACCTACACTATTTCCCATAGATAACATCCTCTCAAACTTCCCATTGCGTTGGGAATGTCTTTTAGAGAGCTCAGTTGATTCAGGAAGATCTTTATCTTCTTTGACACATTTTGACTCAAGATTCTTCTTTGACTTGACAAGCATTCGATTAGCGGGTGACTTGTTCTCATCTTCTTAGCTATATATTTAGGCCAGGGGCTTCACCCAGTCCGCTTGATGGCCTCTCGTCCCTTCTTCCCTTGAGTTGACCCGACCACTCAAGGAGGCCATCTTCTCATGTTGCCTGAGGAGTTACACAAACAATTGGTCATATACATCTTGAATATCCTCAAAGCATTCTTAATCCTCCACACACGTGGGGATTTCCTCTTCCAAGCAAAGGACCTCCGTGGTGGGACTCTCTTTAACTTCGCTGGTGGAAGTTTCCCAAGGGGGAGAGGAGAGAGTGGTCCTACCAAACGAGTATGGCTCTTTGCGTCATCTTGAAAGAGGAGTCATCATTCGAGGATGACTCACTTTCACGATCATGCCACCTGGCTTTCATAGCCCTCCTATTTTCACTATGGAAATCTATCATCTTTCAATTAGGGCATTCCCACGCAATATGTCCGAATCCTTGACATTCAAAGCATTGGACACCTTGCCCCATTCTCTCAACTTCTTTTCGAGAGTTTTTTCTCTTCCTTTTTAGGAGCACTACGTCTACAAGGCTTTTCCTTTGACCTTGAGGAGTCAAACATAACTAGGCTTGAAATATTTTTTGAACTTCTCTACAGCAAGGCCTGGGTCCTCCTCTCCAAATCTGGATGACACGAATTTTCCCTCCTTCTTCTTAGGTTTAGCTCAAGGCCCTGACCTTAGCTTGCGTTAAGGGATGGAAGAATGTTCATCTCAAAGGACAAGATAGACCCTACTAGGTCTTCCAATAACACCAACTCCGTGTTGACACATGTCTCCAAGTATGTGACCTTAACGCGAAAGTCTCTCGGGCAGAGATCTCATGGTTTTCCACTTGATGGCCACATCGTCAACCTTAGTACCTAACAGGAATGATTAATTTACAGCATCACGCAATTTAGCATACAATTCATTAATTATTTCATCATCTCCCTTCCTCGAACTAAGAGGTCTACTTTGCGGTTGAAGTATCTTCACCAAGGAAGTCCCTACCATGGGAAACAACCAAGATGCCGCACACTTCCGTTTAAGTTTGGCCATTAGCAATCTTTCTGAACTCAATAGGTGTCGCGGCGTTGCACATCGCATTCCGTCCTTTTGACTCTAACCCTACGAACTCATTCACATTTTTTGTCCATACTTTCGATGAATTGACTTCAACCACCACTTCACCACTTTCAACTTGCGTGGTGGGGGTGGGGGGCCTCCAACCCTCATGGGGAGTCAACATCACTCACTCACCAGTGTATTTAAGAAACGCTCCCGTATGAGCTTTCCAGTATCCAAAGCTTGATCCATCGAAGAGTGGTGGTCATCCAATTGAACCACCTTCATGTTGAGAATCCATTCAAAACTAACTAGTTGTAATGATAGATTTCGTGAAGGTAAATTAGGCAAGTTAGAAAAAAACAGGTGTGTCAACTTTTTGTGACTTAAATTTTCCGGGCAACTGCGCTCTGATATAAATTGTTGTTCCCGGATGGTGAACCCACAGTGGATCTTTTCTCGCGGTTATACACGTGGAGTCTAGGACACCATATCTAATGAGGGTGAATAGGGTTTTCAATTTCACCCAAAATTGATTACAAATTAAAATCTATTTCTACCACAATTATCTATTCTAACAAATATGAAGCTATGGATGTGAGAACCCTTTTCGTCACCACAAACCCTTTGAACCATGAGCAATGATTTTAATAAATATGCATGTAATTCACTTATTTCTATCTCCGGCCAATCCCAACAAACCCAATTGCAAAGAAACGGTTCAAAGATATTCGTACAATGAAATCGACAAACAGAGGGTGCATTTGTGTGCTAAGGAATGAAACTGTGCCCAACAGAAAGCAAAGCGCGCTTGCTATTTGTTGAGTGGCGAAAACCCCCGTGGGAAAAACTGCGGGGAAGCTCGCCAGGTGATGTGTTACCCGCCGGAATAACGAGAACCAACAACGAAATGAACCCATGATCGTTTAACGAACAGATTTTGTGGTAGACCTTGACCCGTTGTTTACAACAAACAAGAACCTTGGTATATAGACCTCAACCCACTGTTTGTGAAACAAGAGCCTCGGTATAAAGGAAGACGCCACAAACGGTGTGGAAACCCGTTTGATAAGTCATTGGTGAATGCCACGGAGAATTCCGATAAGTTCTTTTAGTTCTTCAAAGAACCAAAGAGAAAACAACCTCAAAATTTGCTGAATAAAGATCTGAATTTTCATTGATCTGAACGCCAATTTATAGGCTGGTCATTACAAGGATTAGGAATCTTCCTAAAATTGCTATCCTACTTAGGAAATATCTTTTACTTGTGGATAAAGAAATATCTCTTACTTTCCTAAGACTCTTGAAGAAAAAAGGAAAGACATTCAACCCTTTAAATGGCTGAGCACATGCCTAAATAGAAAAAGGAAAGTACATGGCATACAAGCCTTACAATTAGACCCTAAAAATAAAGAATTGTGCACATACTGTAGCATAAACAGTGCACGCTACAGCAACTTTGAAAACCCTACTTCATAAGAAATAAAACATGTGGGCTAAGCATCCTCAAGCCCACTTATTAATAATTCTAATCCTTTAGACAAATCGGAGGCCTTAACAACAATAAACTAATTGAATCTTAGCCTTAGCCCCTAGCTGGATTCTTCTAGAACTTGAATCATGTTGATGAATCTTTGTTGCCCAAGTGGATCATGGTCGATGGGCCTCCACAAACTTGCTTGATTCCATGCCTCTTGAATTAGTCCATTGAATACCTCTTTAAACTTCCTTGCTCGTGCTCTCTTAACCAGCCCACATTGAACTTGAATTAAATCCCTTGAAGTTATGTTATGATTTTCATCACAAAGCTCGATCCATCGAAGAGGGGTGGTCATCCAATTGAACCACCTTCCTGTTGAGAATCCATTCAAAACTAACTAGTTGTAATGATAGATTTCATGAAGGTAAACTAGGCAAGTTAGAAAAAAACAGGTATGTCAACTTTTAGTGACTTAAATTCCCCGGGCAACCGCGCTCTGATATCAATTGTTGTTCCGGGAGGGTGAACCCATAGTGGATTTTCTCTCGCAGTTATCCACGTGGAGTCCAGGACACCATATCTAACGAGGGTGAATAGGGTTTCCAATTTCATAACCGCAAACCCTTTGAACCATGAACAAGAAGAAATGGATGTGAGAACCCTTTTCGTAACCGCAAACCCTTTGAACCATGAACATTGATTTTAATTAATATGCAAGTAATTCACTTATTTCTATCTCCGGGCAGTCCCAACAAGCCCAATTGCACAGCTACGGTTCAAAGATATTTGTACAATGAAATCGACAAACACAGGGTGCATTTGTGTGCTAACGAATGAAATTGTGCACAACAAAAAGTAAAGCACACGTGCTATTTGTTGAGGGGCGAAAACCCCCAAGGGAAAAACTGCAGGGAAACTCGCCAGGTTTCACAAAGCCTGATCCACCACTTTTTGAAGTCAACATGCAAGAACTCGGGAGTTATATCCCAACCAATTCCATGCTTAGAAGCTCCTTTCCTCACTATGTCTGTCCGTCGAAAGTCCTTCTCCGAAGTTTGGTGAATCTTCAATTGGATCTTCCTGCCATGAGATTCTTCAACGCCTCGAACTGTTACGGGCATGCCAACTGCCCCTCAGTACGCACACACCAGTTATTTGGGCTTCTTTGGCAACCTTATTCTTTGAATTCCAACACTTACTGAATCGATTACAAATTAAAACCTATGTCTACCACAATTATCTATTCTAACAAATATGAAGCAATGGATGTGAGAACCCTTTTCGTCACCCCAAACCCTTTGAACATTGATTTTAATTAATATGCAAGTAATTCACTCATTTCTATCTCCTGCCCATCCCAACAAACCCAATTGCACAGCTACGGTTCGAAGATATTCGTACAATGAAATCGACAAACACAGGGTGCATTTGTGTGCTAATGAATGAAACTGTGTGCAACAGAAAGTAAAGCACACTTGCTATTTCTTGAGGGGCGAAAACACGCATGGGAAACACCGCGGGGAACCTCGCCAGGTTTCACAAAGGTTGATCCACCACTTTCCAAGCCAACATGCAAGAACTCGGGAGTTGTATCCCGATCAATTCCATGGTTAGAAGCTCCTTTCCTCGCTATGTCTCTTCGTCGAAAGTCCTTGTCTGATGTTTGGTGAATCTTCAACTGGATCTTCCTGCCGTGAGGTTCGTCAAGGCCTCGAGCAATTACGGGCATGCCGACTGCCCCTCATTACACTAATGAATTGGGTTGCTTGAGCAACCTTCTTCTTTGAATTCCTACCCTTGCCATTCTTATCAAATTTTCAGCTTTTGCCAACTTGTGGGGTTGATGGGTTGGTAATGCCCATCAAAAGTTGGGTCTTCGAGGAAGTGTGGGTGTGTTCATTCGGATAGCCTAAACCACGCTTATCACCTACACTTTTTCCCATAGATAACATCCTCTCAATCTTCGAATTGCATTGGGAAAGTCTATTAGAGAGCTCAGTTGATTCACGAAGATCCTTTTCTTGTTTGACACATTTTTGACTCAAGATTCTTCTTAGACTTGACAACCATTTGAACAGCGAGAGACTTGTCCTCCTCTTCTAAGCAAGATATTTAGGCCTTGGACTTGACCAAGTCCACTTGATGGCCTCTCGTCCCTTCTTCACTTGAGTTGACCCGACCACTCAAGGAGGCCATCTTCTCATGTTGCCTGAGGAGTTACACATACAATTGGTCATATACATCTTGAATATTCTCAAAGCATTCTTAATCCTCCACACACGTGGGGATTTCCTCGTCCAAGCCAAGGACCTCCGTGGTGGGACTCTCTTTAACTTTGCTGGTGGAAGTTTCTCAAGGGGGAGAGGAGAGAGTGGTCCTACCAAACGAGTATGGCTCTTTGCGTCATCTTGAAAGAGGAGTAATCACTCGAGGATGACTCACTTTCATTATCATGCCACCTGGCTTTCATAGACCGTTGATGTTCACTGCGGAAATCTATCATCTTTCAATTTGGGCATTCCCACGCAAATATGTTCGAATCCTTGACATTCAAAGCACTGGACACCTTGTCCCCTTTCCCTCAACATCCTTTCGAGAGTTTTATTTCTCTTCCTGTTTAGGAGTACTACGTCTACAAAGCTTTCCCATTGACCTTGAGGAGTCAACATAACTAGTCTTGAAATATTTATTGAACTTCTTTACAGCAAGGCCAGGGTCCTCCACTCCAAATCGAGATGACTAGGATTTTCCCACCTTTTTCTTAAGTTTAGCTCAAGGCCATGACCTTAGCTTTCTTTAAGGGATGGAAGAAGGTTCATTTCAAAGGACAAGATAGACCCTACGAAAGTCTATCTGCTAGAGATCTCAAGGTTTCCCTTTTGATGCCCACATCATCAACCTTAGTTCCAAATGCGAACGATAAATTTATAGTATCACGCAATTTAGCATACAATTCACTAAATGTTTCATCATCTCACATCCTCAAACTCTCGAACTAATAGTTCTACTTTGCAGTTGAGACATCTTCACCAAGGAAATCCCTCCTTGCAAAACTACCAAGATGCCACACTCTTCCACTGAAGTTTTGTAATTAGCAATCTTTCAGAATTCATTAGGTGTCACGGCGTTGCATATCACATTCCATCCTTTCGACTTTCACTCAACGAACTCATTCACATTTTTAGTCCATACCTTCGATGATTTTACTTCAACCACCACTTCACCACTTTTAACTTGTGTGGTGGGGGTGGGGGGCCTCCAACCCTCTTGGGGAGTCAACATCACTCGCTCATAAAGTGGATTTAAGAAACGCTCCCATACGAGCTTTAAAATATCCAAAGCACGATCCATCGAACAGTGGTGGTCATCCAACTGAACCACCTTCCTATTGAGAATCCATTTAAAACTAACTAGTTGTAATGGTAGATTTCATGAATCTAAACTAGGCAAGCTAGCAGTAAATAGATATGTCAACTTTTAGTGACTTAAATTCTCCGGGCAACCATGCTCTGATATCAATTGTTGTTCCTGGACGGTGAACCCGCAAGGGATCTTTCCTTGCGGTTATACACGTGGAGTCCAAGACACTATTCCTAGTGAGGGTGAGTAGGATTTTAAATTTCACCCCAAATTGATAACAAATTAAAACCTATGTCAACCACAATTCTCTATTCTAACAAATATGAAGCAATGGATGTGAGAACCCTTTTTCTCACCACAAACCCTTTGAACCATGAATATTGATTTTTATTAATATGCAAGTAGTTCACTCATTTCTATCTCCGGCCCATCCTAACAAACTCAATTGCATAGTTATGGTTTGAAGATATTTATACAATGAAATTGACAAACACAGGCTGCATTTGTGGGCTAACGAATGAAACTTTGTGCAACAGAAAGCAAAGAACACTTGCTATTTGTTGAGGGGCGAAAACCCACATGGGAAAAACCGTAGGGAACCTCCCCACGTTCCCCAAAGCTTGATCCATCACTTTCCAAGTCAACATGCAAGAACTCGGGAGTTATATCCCAACCAATTCCATGGAAAGAAGCTCCTTTCCACGCTATGTCTCTCCGTCGAAAGTCCTTCTCCGCCGTTTGGTGAATCATCAATTGGATCTTCCTGCTGTGAGGTTCGTCAAGTCCTCGACCAATTATAGGCATGCCAACTGCCCCTGAGTAGGCACACACCAATGATTTGGGCTTCTTTAGCAACCTTATTCTTTGAATTCCTACCCTTACCATTCTTAACAAATTTTGAGCTTGTGCCAACTTGTGGGGTTGATAGGTTGGTAATGCACTTCACAAATATGGTCTTGCAGGAAGTTTGGGTGTTTTCATTCGGATAGCCTAAACCACGCTTATCACCTACACTTTTTCCCATAGATAACATCCTCTCGAACTTCGCATTGCGTTGGGAAATTCCATTATAGAGCTCAGTTGATTCACGAAGATCTTCATCTTGCTTGACACATTTTGACTCAAGATTCTTCTTAGACTTCACAAGCATTCGATCAGCGAGAGACTTGTTCCCATCTTCTAAGCAAGATATTTAGGCCTTGGACTTGACCAAGTCTACCTGATGGCCTCTTGTCCCTTCTTCACTTGAGTTGATCTGACCACTCAAGGAGGGCACCTTCTCATGTTGCTTGAGGAGTTACACATACAATAGATCATATACGTCTTGAATATCCTCAAAGCAATCTTAATCCTCCACACACGTGGAGATTTCCTCGTCCAAGTCATGGACCTCTGTGGTGGGACTTGCTTTAACTTCACTGGTGGAAAATCCTCTTTGTGGGGAGAGGGTAGAGTGGTCCTACAAAACGAGTCAAGCTCTTTGCATCTTCTTGAGAAGAGGAGTCAGCACTCGTGGATGACTCACTTTCATGATCACGCCACTTGGCTTTCATAGCCATCCTAAGTTCACAATGGAAATCTTTCATCTTTCAAATTCGGCATTCCCACGCAAATATGTCCGAATCCTTGACATTCAAGGCATTGGACACCTTGCGCCCTTTCCCTCAACTTCTTTTCCATAGTTTTTTCTCTTCCTTTTTAGGAGTACTACATCTACAAGGCTTCCCCTTTGAACTTGAGGAGTCAACATAACTGGGCTTGAAATATTTTTTGAACTTTTTTACACCAAGGCCTGGGCTCTCCTCTCCAGATCGGGATGACTCAGATTTTCCCTCCTTCTTATGTATAGCTCAAGGCCATGACCTTAGCTTGCTTTAAGGGATGGAAGAAGGTTCATCTCAAAGGACAAGATAGACCCTACTACGTCTCCCAATAACACCAATTTCGTGTTGAAACTTGTCTCCAAGTATGTGACCTTTACACGAAAGTCTTTCGGGTATAGATCTCAAGGTTTTGCACTTGATGGCCACATCGTCAACCTTAGTACCTAATGCGAATGATTAATTTATTGTATCCCGTAATTTAGCTTACAATTCACCAATTGCTTCAAATCTCACATCCACGAACTCTCGAACTAAGAGGTCCACTTTGCAGTTGAGACATCTTGACATAGGAAATCCCTCCATCGGAAACTACCAAGATGCCGCACGCTTCCGTTGAAGTTTTGGAATTAGCAATCGTTCAGAGCTCCTTAGCTGTCGCGGCGTTGCATATTGCATTCCATCCTTTTGCCTTTCACCCTACGAACTCATTCATATTTTTAGCCCCTACCTTCCATGATTTTACTTCAACCACCACTTTCAACTTGCGTGGAGGGGGTGGGAGGCATCCAACCCTATTGGGGAGTCAACATCACTCGCTCATCAGTGGATTCAAGAAACGCTCCCGTACGAGCTTTCCAATATCAAAAGCTCGATCCATCGAAGAGTGGTGGTCATACAATTGAACCACCTTCCTCTTGAGAATTCATTCAAAACTAACTAGTTTTAATGATAGATTTCATGAAGCTAAACTAGGCAAGTTAGGAAAAAATAGATATGTCAACTTTTAGTGACTTAAATTCTTCGGGCAACCACACTCTGATATCAATTGTTGTTCCTGGAGGGTGAACCCACAATGGATCTTTCCTCGCGATTATCCACATGGAGTCCAAGACATTATACCAAGCGAGGGTGAATAGCGTTTTCAATTTCATCCCAAATTGATTACAAATTAAAACCAATGTCTTCCACAATTATCTATTCTAACAAATATGAAGCAATAGATGTGAGAACCCTTTTCGTCACCACAAACCCTTTGAACCACGAACATTTATTTTAATTAATATGCAAGTAATTCACTCATTTCTATCTCCGGCCCATCCGAACAAATCCAATTGCCCATCTATGGTTCAAAGATATTTGTACAATCAAATCGGGAAACATAGGGTGCATTTGTGTCCTAACGAATGAAACTTTGTGCAACAGAATGAAAGGCACACTTGCTATTTGTAGAGGGGTGAAAACCGCCATGGGGAAAACCGCGGGGAACACGCCACGTTCCGCAATGCTGGATCCATCACTTTCCAAGTCAACATGCAAGAACTCGGGAGTTATATCCCAACCAATTCCATGGTTAGAAGATCCTTTCCTCGCTATGACACTCTGTCGAATGTCCTTCTCTAACGTTTGGTGAATCATCAATTGGATCTTCCTGCCGTGTGGTTCGTCAAGGCCTCGATCAATTACGGGCATGCCCACTGCCCCTGATGAGGCACACACCAATGATTTGGGTTTCTTTAGCAACCTTATTCTTTGAATTCCTACCCTAACCCTTCTTAACAAATTTTGAGTTTTTGCCAACTTGTGTGGGTGATGGGCTGGTAATGCCCTTCACAAACCGGGTCTTGGAGGAAGTGTGGGCGTGTTCATTCAGATAGCCTAAACCACGCTTATCACCTACACTTTTTCCCATAGATAACATCCTCACAAGCATCGCATTGCATTGGGAAATTCCATTATAGAGCTTAGTTGATTCACGAAGATCTTTATCTTGCTTGACACATTTTGACACAAGATTCTTTTTAGACTTCACAAGCATTCGATCAGCGAGAGACTTGTTCCCATCTTCAAAGCAAGATATTTAGGCCTTGGACTTGACCAAGTCCACTTGATGGCCTCTCAACCCTTCTTCACTTGAGTTGACCCGACCACTCAAGGAGACCACCTTCTCATGTTGCCTGAGGAGTTACACATAAAATTGGTCATATATATCTTGAATATCCTCAAAGCATTCTTAATCCTCCACACACGTTGGGATTTCCTCGGCCAAGTCAAGGACCTCCGTCGTGGGACTTGCTATAACATCCCTGGTGGAATTTTCTCTAGGGGGAGAGGATAGAGTGGTCCTACAAAACGAGTCAAGCTCTTTGCATCTTTTTGAGAACTGGAGTCATCCCTTGAGGATGACTCACTTTCATGATCATGCCACCTGGCTTTCATAGCCATCCTAAGTTCACAATGGAAATCTTTCATCTTTCAATTTGGGCATTCCCACGCAAATATGTCCGAATCCTTGACATTCAAAGCATTGGACACCTTGCCCCCTTTCCCTCACTTCTATTCCATAGTTTTTTCTCTTCCTTTTCAGGAGTACTATGTCTACATGGCTTTCCCTTTGACCTTGAGGATGTCAACATAACTAGGCTTGAAATATTTTTTGAACTTTTTTACAGCAAGGCCTAAGTCCTCCTCTCCAAATCGGGATGACTCGGATTTTCCCTCCTTCTCCTTATGCTTAGCTCAAGGCCATGACCTTAGCTTTGCTTTAAGGGATGGAAGAAGGTTCATCTTAAAGGACAAGATAGACCCTACTAGGTCTTCCCATGTTGACACTTGTCTCCAAGTATTTGACTGTAACATGATAGTCTCTCGGGTAGAGTTCTAAAGGTTTTCCACTTGATGGCCACATCGTCAACCTAGTACCTAATGCGAATTATTAATTTATAGTATCACGCAATTTTGCATACGATGCACAAGTTGTTTTATCCTCTCACATCCTCGAACTCTTGAACTAAGAGGTCTATTTCGCAGTTGAGATGTCATCACCAGGGAAGTCCCTCCATGGGAAACAACCAAGATGCTGCACGCCTCCGTTGCAGTTTTGCAATTATCAATCTTATAGAACTCATTTGGTGTCGTGGCATTGCATATCGCGCATTCCATCCTTTTGACTTTCACCCTACGGACTCATTCACATTTTTAGTCTACACCTTCGATGATTTTACTTCAACCATCACTTCACCAGTTTCAATTTTCATGGTGGGGGTGGGAGGCCTCCAACCCTCTTGGGGAGTCAACATCACTCCCTCATCAGTGGATTTATGAAACGCTCTCGTACGAGCTTTCCAATATCAAAACCTCGATCCATCGAAGTGTGGTGGTCATCCAATTGAACCACCTTCCTGTTTAGAATCCATTCAAAACTAACTAGTTGTAACAATAGATTTCATGAAGGTAAACTAGGCAAGTAAGAAAATGAAAAGGTATGTCAACTTTTAGTGACTTAAGTTCTCGGGGTAACCACGCTCCAATATCTGTTGTTGTTCCTGGAGGGCAAACCCACAATGGATCTTTCCCCTCGGTCATGCACGTGGAGTCCAAGACACTATAACTAGCGAGGGTGAATAGGGTTTTCAATTTCACCCCAAATTGATTACAAATAAAAACCTATGTCTACGACTATTTTCTATTCTAAGAAATATGAAGCAATGGATGTGAGAACCCTTTTCGTCACTACGAACCCATTGAACCATGAAGATTGATTTTATTTAATTTGCAAGTAATTCACCCATTTCTATCTCCGGCCCATCCCAACAAACCCATTTGCACAGCATTGGTTTGAAGATATTCGTTCAATGAAATGGACAAACACAGGGAGCATTTGTGTGCTAACGAATGAAACTGTGTGCAACAGAAAGTAAAGCACACTTGCTATTCGTTGAGGGGCGAAAACCCCCATGGGAAAAATTGCGGGGAACCTAGCCAGGTTGCACAAAGCTTGATCCATCACTTTCCAAGTCAACATCCAAGAACTCCGGAGTTATATCCCCAATTCCATGGTTAGAAGCTCCTTTCCTTGCTATGTCTCTTCGTGAAAGTCCTTCTCCAACGTGTGGTAAATCTTCAATCTGATCTTCCTGCCGTGAGGATCGTCATGGCCTCAAGCAATTACGGGCATGCCAATTGTCCATTAGCATGCACACACCAATGATTTGGGCTTCTGCAGCAACCTTATTCTTTGAATTCCTACCCTTACTGTTCTTAACAAATTTTGAGGTTGTGCCAACTCGTGGGGCTGATGGGTCGATAATGCCCTTCATAAACACGGTCTTGGAGGAAGTGTGGGTGCGTTCCTTCAGATATCCTAAATCACGCTTATCTCGTACACTTTTTCCCATAGATAACATTCTCTCAAACTTCATATTGCAATGGGAAAGTTTATTAGAGGGCCCAACTGATTCATGAAGATCTTTATCTTGTTTAACACATTTTGACACAAGATTCCTCTTAGACTAGACAAGCATTCGATCAACGAGAGACTTGTTCTCAT